CAAATATAAAATGTTTTCTGTGCTTATTATCCTCCTAGTACTATGGGTTTTTTTTAATAAAATCTGCTGATCTGGATGACAGTTCTCTAGAGCTTTCAACCAAACAGGAAACCATCAAAGGTTTTCATACTCCTGTGTGTAAATGAGATTCCATTTAAGGCTTCTTGGAATAATCCTAAGATTTTAATTCTTAATTTCACTACCATTCCACTGTATATGCTCTGCCGGGCTGTTACTTAGCTAAAGAAATATAAAGCAGACCCAGTTATTACATTTGCTGTTATACACTAGTTAACAGGAAGAGAAAATTATGTGGGAAATTATATGTTGAATTACATCTTTCCTTCCTCAGTAGTTTTGGGCACACGCATGCTCAAAAATATTGTATGTCTCATAAAATAAATTATAAGAGAGAGGCAAGGAAGGTTGAGTTTAAGCCTGACTATTCTGATGTGAATCTCTCTACACCAGCTGACTCATATTCTAGTGTATGTATCAATCAGCAACAATCCCAGCTATTCTGCTGTTAGCATAATTCAGGAAACTGAAGATTTCATCTTATTTGAACTCAATATTATAATAATAAGATATGAATATTGTATTATAGTTTTAGCTGGATTTTTCAGAATAAATTATTAAACAACACCTGCCTATCATAGGTCCTTGGGAAGAATTCATAAGTGGACAAAAAATCCTAATCCATTAATAGTATTGTATAGGTTTTTTAAAATGCCAAAACCAGTTTGAATATCTGGCTGACAAACCATAATACACTGCATTAAAGTTATACATGCTGCCCAACTACTAGAGATTCTGGGTAGTTTGCAATTATTAAAACATTTAAAAACAAAGAACAATACAAAAAGTACAGAAAGAGCATAAGACAAAAGAACAACGATGGCCAGGAAAAAAAACAGAGGGGAGCAGAAAAGAAGAAATGGGCATCAGTCATCTTCCAAAAGCTCGGGTGAAAAGACCTTAAAGAGTTTAGGGACATATTTTAGACATTTAATCATTTTTATATGAATACGTTTATTTTTATATGGGAGGCCAATACATACACTACATACCCACATTTACTTCTGGTTTTTGCCAAAAGAACACCTAATGCGGACAATGAGTTTGCTTAATGACTGTGGCATTTGCTTAACCATCACCACAAATAAGGTCATAAATTATTCCTGGCCACATGATGATCTACTTAACGACCGGCATGACTTATGATTATAATTCTGGTTTCAATCATGAACGTAAGTTGAGGGCTACCTCTGTATATCTTTTAATCATTGGGCTGCTACATCGGATCTAGTTGAAGCTACTGAAGGGTTGAAAAAGGCAGCCCATGTTCAGCTGCAGTGCAATAATCCCAGACAAATAGTGGTGAAGTATAAACTTCTCGCTCCAGATAAGGGCTCTACCAGGTGGAGCAGATACAACAAAAATCCCCATGTCAGACATCACCTTATATCAGGGGTCCCCAGCCTTTTGGATTCTGCAGACTAGTGGCAGTGGTGGCAGCTTTGCCGGTTTCGGCAGTGGGGGCGAATGGCTTTATGCTTGCAGCCTGAATCCCTCCCGTGTGCAAATGAAGCACTTGCCTGCCACATCAGTAGCCCGGTTCCCAATGGGCCACGGCCTGGTATGGTAGCAGTCTTCAGCCCAGGGGTTGGGGACCCCTGCCTTATATACCAATTGCTGTGGTTCCAGGAGGGGCATTATCTAGACCAGTGGTGGCGAACCTATGGCACGGGTGCCAGAGGCGGCGCTCAGAGCCCTCTCTGTGGGCATGCGCGCCGTCGCCCCAGCCCTAGGCCTTCAGCTGGGTTTTATAAAACCTTTTCATTTTAGGCCTCCGCCGCCGTGTGCAAAAAAAAAAAGGCTCAATCAATCAGTCAATTTCAACTTCTCGTGGGAAAAAAAAAAGATATTGCAAAGTTGGAATTGATTGATTGAACTTTTTAGTCCCACCCAGTCTGTTGTTACCACCGCAGCCACGCCCAGCCAATGGGTCACACCCAGCCAATGGGCCACACCCACCCGGCACTCAACGATGCATAAGTGGGTTTTGGGTTGCAGTTTGGGCACTCGGTCTCTAAAAGGTTCGCCATCACTGATCTAGACTACTCCAATTGGGTCTGCCCTTGAAGACTATTTGGAAATGCCAACTGATATAGAATGGAACATCTACGTGCTGACAGGCAAAAGTCGATGAATCAGAATTAACATCCCTTCATCGGTCACTGCAAAGGTTTCCAGGTACAATTCCAAGTGCTCGTTATCACTTATAAAATTCTTTAGGGCTTGGCTATTTTTGCAAACATATGCTCAAGATACAATCTTCTTGTCCTATACACTCAAATCATGAAAGCAAGATTTCTATCCCCACCTCCATGAAGCTAAGGGTGGAAACAGAGAAAGTCACTTTTTCTGGAACTGCCCTAGCCCTATGAACACCTTATCCTTGATGTAAACATTTGCTTATACATCGTTACTATTTGTTGGCCCTTCAAAGTAGGCCAGGTGAGGAACCAGTCTCTACAAAGACTACTGGAACTCTATTGTGGTAAGTCATAATAATAGCATCTTGAAAGCTTGCTAGTTTCCCTGTCGTCATTCATTCATTCATTTCAGAAAAGTTATGACTGCCCAACTTACTTTCAGTGACTCTGGGCAGCTTGCAGTATCCCTTATTTTTTACTGGTTCTTGGATTCCTACATCAACATTACCTCTGCCTCCCTCTGCCACATCCTATCTTTTTTTCCAGGACCTCAAAACAGCCCTGCTCCCAATTTTCGTTCCCTTCCTCCATCAACAGTCTTATGGGATAGATGGGACCAAAAGGAAATAGTGAGCTTTCATGATTGAGAGCAAGCCTGAATCTGGATATTTGTACTTGTTATTAAATGTGTGCTGTGATATGCTTTTTGCACTGCAAAGATTGCTGGCTTCATCAGAAGCATACCTTTTACAAAAAAAAGTTATCTTCACACATAGCAACTGCTGTACTTCCTCCCCCCCCTACAAAATGGAATTTTCTCCAGGAAGAAAAAAAATAAGAGAAGCACAAAAACATGGAAGACAGGATGCTTCATAGAGATTAGCCAATTTATTAGAGATAAATAGGACTTAACCCTAACAGGCTATTTGCAGCAGATAAAAAGATGTTAAGAGTGGTAGAATGTGGAAAGTTGGTGGGGCTTTATACATAAATATTCTGAGTTTGGGATGGCTGGCAGAGGGAGGGAGGGAGAGGGGCAGACATTGAAGCAGCTGTACTTTATCTGAAGTAGCTATAGCTTCTTTAACAGAATAACAGAGCTGGAAGGGATCTTGGAGGTCTTCTAGTCCAACCCCCTCTTCAAGCAGGAGACCTATACCATTTCAAATGTTGTCCAAGCTCTTCTTAAAAACCTCCAGTGTTGGAGCATCCACAACTTCTGGAGTCAAGTCATTCCACTGATTGTTCTGTCAGGAAATTCCTCCTTTCTTCTAGTTCTTTTTGATTAGTTTCCATCCATTGCTTCTTGTCCTGCCTTCAAGTGCTTTGAAGAATATGTTGACCCCCGTTTGTGGCAGCCCCTCAGATATTGGAACACTGATATCATGTCACCCCTAGTCCTTCCTTTCATTAAACTAGACTTACCCGTTCTTCATAAGTTTTAGTCTCCAGTCCCATCATCTTTGTTGCTCTTCTCTGCACTCTTTCTAGTCTCAACATCCTTTTTACATTGTGTAAACCAAACTGGATGCAATATTCCAAATGTGATCTTACCATCAGAATGGCTTCTGATATTTTGTCTATGGCTTATATTTCTGTTACAGTGACAGTACATTCTTTCTTAAAGTGCCAGAAAGCTGTCCTTTAGATTTATTCAGTACGCTTTTGTCATTTACGTTGTTCATTCGACTTTTACAATTGGAGCCACTTAATGCAGTCTTTCACATTCACAGGAAAAATATGGAAATTGGATTATTTTTTTAAATAAATGTACATATACCCTTTGATTTTACATCTTATTAGAAAATGCATTTTTGAAGTTTTTCCTTTTTCCTTTGAAAAGCCAAGTTCCAAACATAAACAATATTTTTTATCCTGATCGACTTTTTTCCAAACGTTGCTTTTTCAGCGTTGTCCTTTATTCATCACCATATCCTAATTTGATCATCTTATTCTTATATAAAACACTTATAACACATCTTCTAAGACGCAGGGGATTACAAATCATTTCAGATATCTTGGTTAAACGATTGTAGAAATTAGCTCAGACAAGAAAACAAGAAAGCTCCGTTATTTTACAGTATTTTTTTTTTTAAAGAATTGGAGAGGGGAAAATTATCGTACCCTAACTAATAGGGCACTTGATCCTTTTGAACTTTTGGTTTTATTTTCAGCCCACCTCCTCCTGTTTTAACTCCGCGTGGGAACTCTCAACTGCGAATCTGCTCTGGATTGGTGGAAGTCAGCCAATATTAGCTGGAAACAGTGCAAAGCCATGTGACTCTGCCGCTCCGTTTTTCCGCCCAACGCGGCGTTTCTACGCCTCGTCTCTGTTCCACCGCAGAGTAAAGTTCCCGCTCGCCGAGGCGCCCACGCTCTATCGCTCCGCCCAGACAAGAAGCCGTCCCGACCACCGCCGGCCGCACCACGTGACCCAATTCCCCTCGCCGGAATGTCTTCCCCGGTGGCTGATCTCTAGGGGTAACCGTCTCGCGATACCTTTTGTGATCTCGCTCGTCCGAGCGCTCCGCTTCTCGCGAGATCCCTCGACAAGATGGCAGCGCGGTTGAGCTGGTGAGCGGAGCGGCGAGCGGAGGAGGCGACTCCGAAAGCAGCTCGGCTGGAATCAGAGGTTCTCCGCTCGCGGAGTGTCCCCGGCTGGGGGAATGCCGACGGGACGGGACCCGCCACCGCGGCTCTGAGCGCCCCGAGTCCTCCGCAGCCTTTGCAGCACCCTGTCTCCCCATCGTGGCCCCCCAACGCCCGGGGCCGCCGCTGGCGATGACCGGAGAGAAGCTGCGCTCGCTGCGCAAGGACCACAAGCCCAACAAGGAGGACGGGGACCTGCTGGGGCCCAGCGAGGAGGAAGCGGCGGCAACGCCTGGCGGAGGCGCCTTCACTAGCGCCCGGGCGGGAAGCGGCAAGGGCAGCCGCGGCTCGACCCACCGCATCTTCACCAACCATCACCGGCTGCCGCTGAAAGGAGGGCCCGGGGGCTCTTCCCTCGCCGCCTCCACCCTCGACCCCGTCAAGCCCCTCCCGAGCCCGCAGTTCCCCGTGCATGAGTGCGTCTTCAAGGGGGATGTGAGGAGGTTGTCGGCGCTGATCCGCACGCAGGGCATCGGCCACAAGGATAATCACGGTAAGAAGCCGTCCTCGCCCTTCTCTGCTCGTAATGAAGGGTAGAGCCTTCGTTACGACCCGTCGCTTTGGAAAGAAGGGTCTGTCGTGACCCCTTGATTTTCCTGGTGTTACTCGTAACTTACTCGTAGTAATTCTGCCTGTCCCTTTTCAGGATTAATCTTCAGTTCTCCCTCTCCAGGAGAAATTAGGTGTCTGCCGTTGCTTTATACCTACCATCCCTAGAGTTACAACTCACTCTCTCTTAAGAGGGGATCTCTTTTTATATATATATATATATATCTTTATTTTTTTTTCCTATTTTTTTTCCTATTTTTAAAAAGCCAGGCAGCGCCCACGGGACTCGAACTACCAGGAACTAGCAGTTGAATGACAACTACTCGGATTGCGAAGGAACCGCTAGGCTAAGCTGGCTCTTAAGAGGGGATCTCTTAAGAGGGGACGGTCTTTTCTACTGTCCTGAATAATCAAATATAACTAATTCCTTACAAGCCTTGCAAATGCCTCCTGTTGCTTTTTTTTTTTCCCCTTCCCTTCCTTGTCCTTTTGCCTACAAGTACAGGTTCCACTTTTTTTCAGATGGGGAACCAGTACTTTAACTGGATATTTTTTATCTCTATTGAAAAGTATGTAACTGCATTTTAATCTTGAGAATTTCACAACCAAACCTTCTAGGAACCTAAGCTTTAATTCAAGTTGTTCCTGTAGCGTTTCAGGTTACGAGCCGATTATGGGCTCTTTTAAATGTTGAAAATGTTATTATTAAAAGGATTGGGTTTTTTTTGATAAAAATGTATTTGTAGTTATGCTTTTGAAGAAGTAAAATTCTTGTTGAAAAATCCAGGTTGCATGCAAACGGTTGATGGGGTATTTTTCTTCTTTAAAAAAAGATACCATTTTATGAGTTTTCTTCCTGTTTTAGACTCCTAACTCTACATTTATGTAAGTTATATTCTCTTGAAAGAAAACAGTTACCCAATCAGTGCTTTAAAATCAATGTCTCAAGCCCAAAGAGAATGTACTAGTCAGAAATGTAGGTTTAATAACTAAGCCTTCACTTATCATTTTCCTTTACAATCTGGTTTTTTTTAACTGATCATTATAATAAAGGATAATATTTGTTTTTTTTTTGTTTTTTTTTTCAAAAAGTTTTTTTATTATTTTCAACATAAGAGAAAAAGCAAACACAAGTACATCACAATTGAAAAACCCCCTCCCCACCCCCCACCCGGACTTCCCAAACCTAATCCCAGGATACTATTCATCTAAAAGTAACCTTATATTAATACCCCTAACTCCATAAAATATAGTTTTACATAAGTAGGTGAAATATATGTATATATATAAAAAGAAAAAAATTTTTTTTATCTAAAAACCTAACCTATATTCCACCATTCTATGCTTGTTTTGAATATAAACAATCCATCTTCTCCATATTGATAAAAATTGTTCATTTGAATGATCCTTCAAATAAGCCGAAATCTTTGCCATTTCAGCAAGATGCGAAACCTTCACTCTCCAGTCCTCTATTGTAGGTAAAACTTGACTCTTCCAATTTT